TTCAATGTATATGAAAAATTACTTATCACTAGACATGAGGGCCCACACCTATAATCCTAGCAACTCAGGAGGCTGAGATTAGAGGATTGCAAGTTCAAGGTCAATCTCAGCAACTTAGCCAGACACTCAGCAACTCAGGGAGACCTTGTTTCAAAATAAAAAATAAAAAGGGCTGGGGAATGTGGCTCAGTGGCAAAGCCTCCCTTGTTTAATCCCCAGAACCAAAACCAAAATTATGTATATATAATTTGAGTCCTAGCATAATGTTTTCTTTTTTCCAGAAAGAATTTACATTTGCTTCTGGATGTTGGCCAGAGGCACTAGCAATTCTAGATCACTTTAATTCAATTTCAGGCATTGAAGTGATTTTTAAAATGAGCTTTAGTCTCTCCAAGATCAAGTTTTGGTGTTTTACGCCTAGGGCTTAATCCTTGAGGTTTCAACCCTAAGTATGATTACTTACCAGAATTCCCATCCTTGGCAGGCCATAGAATTTGATTATCTTACCCTTTGGCCCATAAGCAAAAGACTTAGCATCTTCTCACCCCCAAGTAAAAATTATCCCAAATTCCTTGCTCAAATTTATAGCTTTTATTCTTCTTCTAGGTCTTACATCCATACTTCTTCCTTCCCTCTTAAAACTCCAATTCCTTTGAGTAATTATTATATTTTGTTCAATATTTCTAATTGTCAGTAAAAAGGATGTTTTTAATTACTTAGTCCACTATTAGAAAAAAACCTTTAAATATAATTTGAATGGCTTATAAAATGTGTCTAAATGTTTATCATCTAAGATTCCTCAACTAGATCTACTAAGATTTGTGGGAAATACTTATTAAAACCCCTGAACAGGAATAGCTTATAGCCATTTAAAACATAAAGTCAGATATAAAATTCTAAATTCATAAAAGCAAAATTGAGAGTCTCATTAAGATATTTGAAAATACTTTATTTGGAAGGTTTTACAAATTTAATTTTTAACACCTTTTCTATTTGACATAACCAAATCCCATAAAGATGCCCACAAAGGCCTTCTAGTCTACCTGAAGTTACCATGTAAACAAGAACTTTTCTATGGGCCATGATATGAAAAAGTTTGGAAAGGCCTGGACTGCTAACCTTTTTTTTTTCATATTCAAACTTTCTTCCTAGCAGAACTCACTTTTCACTTAAGAAGATGAAAACACAAAATAATATGTTTTCCCAGATGGGGAATCATGGCTGAATCTCGGCCAATGGGACCTGAGAAAAAGACTCCTGGAGACTTAAAAGAAATATTTGTCCTCCTAGGAAAAACTGATCAGGGGCTGGGGATGTGGCTCAAGCGGTAGCGCGCTCGCCTGGCATGCGTGCGGCCTGGGTTCGATCCTCAGCACCACATACAAACAAAGATGTTGTGTCTGCCGAAAACTAAAAAATAAGTATTAAAAAAAAAAAGAAAAAACTGATCAACCCAATGCAGCATTCATTTTTTTTTTTCATTGGTTGTGGCATCTTTATTTCTGTGGTACCAGAACTGATGCCGCCATGTACAATCCTGAGGCCAAATGTTGCTGATGTTCTAAGGACAGTAGCATTTTTATGGATTGGATGTGAGTTGAACCCCAAAACTCATGAGAAAATGCAAGAAGGTTTAGAAGAGAAATGATTGGGTTATGAGAGCCTTAACCCAATCAGTGAATTAATCTCTCAAAAGGGATTAAATGAGTGGTCACTGAACGTGAGTAGTGTGTGGCTGGAGGAGGTGGGCATTGGTAGTGTGCTTTTGGGGTATATACTTTGTATCTGCTTTCTGATCATCATGTGAGCCGCTTCCCTCCACCACATTCTTTTGCTGTGATGTTCAGCCCCACCTGAAGCTCTGAGGAATGGAGCCTGCTGTCTATGGACTGAGACCTCTGATACTGTGAGCCCCCAAATAAACTTCTCCTCTCAAACTTTTCTCATCAGCTCCATTAGTCACAGCAGCAAAAAAGCTGACTAAAACAAATATGGAAGGGTGGAAAACACAGAGGTTCCCCAAATTTTTTAAGCAACTAAATTAATCTGGAACATCTCTACTGATGTAATTCTGCATTATTTCAAGAAAATAAATGTGATTATGTCAGCTCTTCCTACTGGGTCTTTTGTTATTTGCATTCAAATAATGTTACTAATAAACCTGTGGTGGTTTTAAAGCACAATCCCCAAATTATTTGACACCTCTCCAGTTGAAAAGAGGATTCTCTGTCCACTCCCTTTGAGTCTGAGATGGTTGTGACTGCTTCAATGGTTAAAATATGGTAGATACACCAAGATATATGCATCAGAGAGTGAAAGACCCCCTTTTAAATCAGCATTTACTAATAAAATGGGAAATTCAGTCATATTTTGCTCAAGATCTTTTACAAAAATATTTTTAAAACTTAATCGTGAGCTGGGCGCAGTGGCACATGCCTGTAATTTCAGTGGCTCAGGAGGCTGAGGCAGGAGGCTTATGAGTTCAAAGCCAGCCTCAGTGAAATCAAGGCACCCAGCAACTCATCGAGACCCTGTCTCTAAATAAAACACAAAACAGGACTGGGGATGTGGCTCAGTGGTCAAGTGCCCCTGAGTTCAATCCCTAGTAACCCCCTAAAAAATTAATTGTGAAGTTAAAAAGAACAGAATATGGTGGAAGTGACTGCTATGTGGCTTGTGAAACTAGTTCATAGAAGGTGATAGAGCTGGGCAGGATGGTGCACACCTATAGTCCCAGCTACTCAAGAGGCTAATGCAGGATGATCACTTGAGCCCAGGAGTTTGAAGCCAGCCTGATCAACTTGAGAGACCCTGTCTCTTTAAAAAAAAAAAAAAAAAAAAAGGTAGGGAGCAGGTAATGTAGCTTCTGCCACACTTAATGGAAACTCATGCTTAGAGTCATGAGTCATCACGTAAAATGTCTGACTACCTTAAAGCTTCCATTATGGTAGGAAGCCAAGTCACTTGATGAGATCATATGTTGGTGTTCCAGATGACAGTACTAATACTTGATTCATCCCAGCCCAGATGCCAGGTAGGTGAATCAATGAATCTTCAGAGAATTTCAGCCCCTACCTGCACCGTCAATTTCTCCACAGTCCCTGAGTCTTCTTAGCAGAGTCTCCAGATATTACGGAGCAGAGATAAGTTATCTCTGCTGGGCCTTATTCCAATTTCTAACCAACAGAATCCATGAGCACATTACAATAAAATAAATAGATTTTATTGCCCAATTCTTGGGTAATTTATTAAAGATACTACAAGTAGAACAACACTTCATCACCCCTTTTTATATGTATCATGAATTACCACATGGCACAACCTGAGATGTGATAATGTGGCCCTTGTAGCTTTCAGACTACCTAACTTCAGGGTTTGACCCACCTAGATATAGAAACATGTCTTTAGGGAAGTAAATTTGGTGTTCATAAAGCCATCACTAAGCCCTCTCTTAATTCAGATGTTGACATTGCTCAAAGAAAAATAACTTTGGCTTGTAAAATGTCTTGAAAGAGGATGTTTCCTCTGTGAACTGCAATCATAACTTTTGTGCAGTAACTTTTCTCAACCCACAATTTAGAAGAACCAGTAACAAACTACATTGTCAAGTAAACAGCTCTATTTGGTTCTGTCTAAGCTCATAAAATGAGAGCAGGGAAATGGAAGGGCCTGAGATTCAGAAGCCCAGGGGTGTAGTTAACATCTATGTGCACTTTACAAATTACTTGTCTCTTAGCTCCTGTTCTGCTTGTAAAATACAAGAGTTGGACTAGAAGAGTAATGAACCTTCCAACTTTAATTTTGGAGATCAAAATAGAAAAATGGTTATGGTAGGCTGAATGTTGCTATCCCCATACACACACACACACACACACACACACACACACACACAAAGGTGTGCACATCTGAATCCCCAGAACCTGTGAACATATCACCTGACATGGCAGAAAACAATTTACAGATGTGAATAAGAATCATACAGAGAAGAAGACTGATACTTCTGGCTTTGAAGTTGGAGGAAGGAATCATGAGCCAAGGAATACAGGAAGCCTGTAGAAACTATGAACACCAAGGAAACAGGATGTCCCTTAGAACCTCTAGAAAGACCCAGCCCTATAGACCCATTTTAGACTTCTGACCTCCAGAACTATGAGATAATAAGTTTGTGCTGCTTGAAGCCACTAAATTTGTGGTCATTTGTTAGTGCAGCAATAGGAAACTCATTCAGTGGTAAAGATCTTGGTCTGCTATCAGACTAAAGTACTTGAGTTTATGCCTCTTTTCTACCACTTGCTGAATGCATGACCTTGGACAAGTTATTTAAATTCTCTGTACCTCAGTTTCATCTTGAAAAAAGTAATAAGAGAAAAATCAAACCTTCTGGATTACTGAGGTTTTGAAGAAATATTTAGGGTCATCTAGAACTTAGAAAATTTTAAATAAATGTAGGTACTGTGCATCTGCTAAGGTTTGCAATTTAGGATATTTGTTCCTTCTTTCTTGTAAGTAATATATTTCTTTATGCACAGTCTTGGAGCAAGAAGAGAGCATCTGCTTTAGGAGTTTCGCAAGTAGTATCTCATTTGATCCTTGCAAACAGTGGTGAAATAGTTATGATTATGTTTTCATGTAGGAAATCTGAAGGGGGGGTAAGTTTTCTAATTAACAGAGCTAGTAAGTGACCAATCAAAGTTGCTTGTAGGTGACTACATTAATTACACTTATTTGTTGGATAACGGTGAATGAACAAATTATGTGAAAATAACCACAGCACTTAGCACTAAACCAATTGTGTGGGTCACTAGGTCATCCACAGTGGCCACAACCCTAGCTTTTTAACATGCATCCCTTATTTTCAGAAAGGTCAGATGGAAGCAGGAAGGAATAGGCGTATGGCCTGACGTACACTCGGTGTCCAGGAGGCCCCCTCCCTGGGTCAGACGACTCGGAGCCTGCCTCGTGTTCCAAGCTCCTGTGCGGCACAAAGGCGGGGCCTGCGCGGGTAAAGGCCCCAGGCCATAAACGGGGGCGGGGCCTCCCGGGAGGCCAGTGCGCGGCCGCGGAGTTAGACCCACGCGTCGCTCCGCCCCCGGGGAGAGTCGGCGCCACCATGGAGGAGTACCATCGCCACTGCGAGGAGGTACCGCCCTCAGCCCCGCCCGCCTGGATGCGGGGTCCCTGTCGGGTGGTCTTCCATTGCCCGGCGATCGGCAAAGTTGGGATGCGGTGTCCTCCGAGCCCGAGTCCTCTCCGCGGGGCCGGGGACACGCCTCGCCCTTCTCTGTCCCCTTCCCCCCGCCCCCGAGATCCTGAGGGTGGACCGATTGTCGGGGTGGCAGAGGCGGCCGGAAGCGCGAGGGTCGGGCGGTGGGGTCCCGGCGGGGATGTGGGGAAGAGGCTTGTGGAGGGGTCGTGGGTGGAGGGCGTCGCCCGTCTGCCGGCGGGCTTGGGAAACTGGTCTTCCAGCAGCTTCCTCCACCCCTGGGCGTCCTTAGGAGCAGGTGTCGCAGCCCCTCGGGCACCGCAGCTTGGGATCCTGGAGATTCTGGCCTGGGTGGGCTGGAAAGACGTTGCTTTATAGATTAGGAACCCTTGCTTACTGACTCAGGCTTCTTAAGCCTCACCAGAAATCCCATGATGTCAGTTGTTAGCTTCCTTTTACTGATGGGGATTCTGACTTTTCATGGCCACTCAGTGACATGCTCCAAATTAAAACTGCCAGGAATGGCATGGTCGATTTGTAAAGCCTCTGACTATATAGCTACAGCTCTCGCTTCACTGTTACCGCTGGGAAGATGAGGCCTGTTGGATTGCAGCCTAACTTGTGACAGCTGGCAAGGGCGGAATAGATGAAGATATTTTCTGTCCAGTGGTAGGGAATGGAGCAGGAAACCTTGTAGATGTCTTGGAAGGGGTTTCTGCTCCAATGGGAATAGGTTAGGATATTTTAGGATATGGGCTTCTGCAGAAGTTAAAACCACATTTAAATGAATTACTTCTGTTCCAGGTAGCACGCATAATCACAGGTCAATGGTAAAATGCTGTAACTTTAGGAATAAGAACTTGAGGGCTGGGGATGTAGCTCAGTGATAGAGGGCTTGCTCAGCATCCCCCTTGGTGGGAGGAGAGGGCTGGGAGGATCTGAGGCACAAGAATATTATATGGCTGGCATATCCCCCAACAAAGGGAAAGGGTTCTTTCCTGTACTGCTTCCTAAATGCATATATTTAAAAAGAAATAAAATTACATGTGTTGCCATGGCCACTCAGTACATCCAGATTATTGTTAGGTAGCTTTCCAGACTGAAGCAAAACTGGCATCCTTTGATTCATAGGCCAATTCTGACAGTAGATAAGGATGTGATTTTAAAGTAAAATGGTCATTTTTAGTGGGGCCAAACTCTTTTTTTTTTAATAATACTCCTAAATGTTTAGGGTATTTTACTCCTTTGTCATTGGGGAATTCTGAGTTGAAAAAAATTTTAAATCTATACTCAAATCAATTTTGGAATTTACTTGTTTGAAGTAACTTTAATTTGTATAATGGTTTTTACAAAAATGCTGATATGATAAAGCACCTAAAAATGTCTCCATAGAAACAATTCTTGTATTACCTGAAGTGTCTTGGTTTAGATTTCAGTCTTATCACATAACCTAGTTCTGTTCTTGAGGACACTTGAATGTCATTGATCATTGTTGTTAATTCAGGATTCTTGCAAGCTGCTCCCCCCAAAAAGACTAAGTTGTCAGACTAACTTACAATATGAAAGTGATAATAATTTTGAATGATCAAGTTTTGTTGTAATTTTTAATTCAGGAAAGTCATGTTTTGACCTAGTGTCAGTTAAAAACAAAACTGAAAATAACGAATTAAGCATTTTCTTCTCATGGACCACTTTATTCTCTCATCCTGCTGAAACCATTTCTTATATTACTGATAATACATATATCTTTTTTCATCCACATTTTTATTGGTGCATTGTAGTTGTATATGATGGTGGAATTTGTTGTTACAGATTGGTACATACGCAGTATAACAACATAATTTGGACAATATCCCTCCCCGGCACTTTCCCCCTGCCTCCCCTCTTTCTGCCCCCTGGTCTCTTCCCTGTATGCTACTGGTCTCATGAGATCACCTTTCTTTTCCTTGACCTTCTGAGTTTGGCTTATTTCACATATCATAATGATCTCTAGTTCTATCCATTTTCCTGCAAATGACATAATTTCATTTTTCTTTATGACTGAATAAAATGCCATTATAACACATGTATCTTTATCTGCTTATTTCCTCAACTTTACAATACAATGATTCTCCATCTAAAATGTTCATCAGAATTGCTAGTACAAAGCACTTTTCAAAAAGATATAGTTGCCCAGGCTCTGCCCTGACCTAAGGACTCAGAATCTCTCGGAAGGAAAGGTAGGGAGAGAATTCTATACTTTTAAGTGCCCCTTGTCACTACAGTCTCTGTCACTCCCCTGTCCAGGCCAGTCAAGGGATTCTGTGTATTATCATCTCTACAAATAAAAGGAAGCCTGTATTGAAAGCAGTATTATCTTGGGTTTTCCCTTTAGGTTGGTTTCAATGCTGATGAAGCCCACAATATCGTCAAAGAGGTAAGTTATACATGTACATCTCAAGGCTTGCTGCACTGATGTATGTTTTGAGGTTCAGTACAAAGTTAGAACCCTTAGTGTTAAACACAAGATTTTGAATTTTTCACCCAAGTCTTTAGAGGAGTGCTGCTCTATTCTATCACATGCTGTCCGGCATCTTGGAGCTTCCTCAAAGAGATGCTTAAGAACTGTCATAGTGCCAGGTGTGGTAGTGCACATCTGTAATCCCACCGGCTCAAGAGGCTGAGGCAGGAGGATCAAGAGTTCAAAGTCAGCCTCAGCAACTTATGGAGGCCCTAAACAACTCAGAGAGTCCCTCTTTCTAAATAAAATATTTAAAAGGGCTGGGGATGGGGGTAGGTAGTTAAAAACCCCTGGGTTCAATCCCTAGTACCAAAACAAACAAACAAAAAACTGTTTTAGTCTAGAAAAATGGTTTGTTCTTTACCAAAATTGATAATCCTGTCTTTTGAATAAAAGATTTATATCAAATAGGCAAAAAAAAAAAAAACCCTAGAAATGTCTGCCTTTGACTTTGTGTGCTTGTTTTAACAATATACTAGGAAAAATAATCACTTTAGCACCTTGTAGACACTGATGTGATGGTAAACCAAAATCTTCAGAAAACTATTTGAAACGTGAAATCTGGTCCTTTGTTAGGCAAACAAAAAGGAAGTTCTCTTTGGGAATCAATTCTGGCAGAGGAACTTTAATTATTCTAGTGGTATCAATACAGAATACACTGTAGGTAAGGTACTTATGAACACTTTAATAGTCCTGAGTCATCTTTAACTCTGCCAAGGCCTACCAAAGAGAGAGAGAGAGAGAGAGAGAAAGAGAGAGAGAGAGAGAGAGAGATGGCTCAGAACGCAGGCTTGAATTGTGTGTATGACTGTTGAGGCCTGTGTCCTAGCAGGCCCTGACTAGTTGGCTTCTCCCTCTGGTAGCGCTCTCAGTACATCCTCCAGACAGTGCCTCACCTGCCTGAGTGCTCTGGATGATCCAGCTCACTTCAAGCTCCCACAGGTCTGTCCTTGTACAACAAGGATCAACTCGATGTCTGAAAGGGCTAGACAGGCACCTGAAAATCCTGCCATATTTGAATAGTTCAGAATCATGTATTAGAACAATATCACCTAGGAATGTTTAATCAATGAAAATTAAATGCAAATGCTTTCAGTACCTTGATGATAGAAAAGGAAATGAGGAAGGTTTTGGAGGTGGACAGGATTGATAATAATCTCATTTTTCAAAATGGAATATCAAAAGAGACCATACTTAGTCAATGGAACATGAAAGAAAGGATGTGGGGGTCTTTGGCGTGGTCCCTTTAATTAGTGCTTTCTTCCTTTCCTAAGTTCTGAACCAGATAAAAAGAGAAAAGAGTTATTAGAAGAGAACAAAACTCTTTTATTATGGATAAAAACTAGGTTGATGATGTAGCTTGTTTACTTGCTGTCACTGGGTTCAGACCTTGGTAGAGCCATCCAAGGCAAAGTTTGAGTTGGGAGAGAAAAACACTTATAGGCTGATGCCTTTCATTGGTCTGGGTGGAGAAGAAGCAAAACCCCGAGTCCAACATGTCTGGAAGATTGGCTTTCCCAATTGAGAATGGTAGAACAATGGTCGTCCCCCGCCAAGCAGGTAACTCACCTCCATCTCCAGGGGAAAGAAAAACTGGTGGGATAAAAGGCTAGGAATGTTAAGAAAAAATCCTCTGTGTACAAGGAACTGTCAGGAATAGAAATGAAACTTAGTCCTAACAGTGTAAATATATTGAATGACAATAGTAAATTCACTGTCTTAAGAGAAGGGCATGGGAGGAAGACACCAGGTGGCCTGGGGGAACTAAATTTTCACCTATCATGGCAGGATTTCTCATGGATATTATCAGTAATTCATAAGTGAAGAAATGGTGATATAGCTATGTGCCATGGTACATGCCTGGGATCCAGTGACTTGGAAGGCTAAGTCAGAAGGATCACAAGTTTGAGGCCAGCCTCAGCAATTTAGTGAGACTATATCAAAATAAAGACCGGATGTAACTGGGTTGTAAAGCAGTTAAATCCCCAGTATTTCCCTTGCAGAGTGATATAAATGTTATTTGGAAATAATGTAAGTAACCTTTAGAAGAAATAAACATAATTATACACTGAAGGTATTTTCCTCTGGAGAATGGGAAAAGGGACTGGAAAGGCAAGGGTGGGGAGGCCACTCTTTGTGTATCACTTTAATAGTCTATTTTTGAATCAAAAGAACCTCCTCCTTTCTTCCCATAAGCCAACTTTTTCCTGCCATTGAAACATTTCCATTGAGGCACTGGAAAAGCTCAAGAATAAGCTCTGTATTAAAACATTTTAGTACTTCCTAGACAATTACATAATTTCAGCAGTTATTTCTGTTTTCCTTATCTCTTGCTCATCTTATTTTTTTCAATTCCTTGCTCTGAGCCCTCACACCAATATATTTTTTTTTCTACTGAACTCTAAGAGCCACTCATTTATTGGTTATACACATGCATTTTATTCATTGTTAAACTAGAATTCCCCAAAAACATCCTTAAAGAAAGAATGAGTTACAAATGAAACTAAGTTGGAACTTAGACTAAAGTGTATTTGATTTGGAATGTCCAGAGAGTATATCAAAGCCAATATTGTTTCAACAACAAACATTTATTGACTACCTGCTATGTGCCCCTGTCCTGAGATTGACCATGAGAATGCAGATCTGTTTAAGAACCTCATTGCCTGGTAGGCCTCCTGGTAATTAGTTAGGCTAAATATTAGTTAATTGTAATTAGGAGGGCTATTGACAGTAGGACCCACATCCACACAGTGTTTTCTATTGTTTAGAGCTGAAATTGGAGTGATTCTTTCAGATAATCCAAAAGAAAATGAGTGTCCTTACTTTCCCCATTAAGGAAAGGCATCTACAGGAGGAAAAGTTTTGCACAGTCCAAAAAAATAAAATATTCCCCTAATTTTTCATAACAGAAAAAAAAAAGATCATCAGCTTTGGTAATGGTAAAGCCAGAATTAAAACCATGTTCTGCTGACCCTTAAAACCCTGTGCTACTGTCCCTTCTACTCTGTCATGGAGAATAATTTGGGCCACATTACTTTTGTCAGCACCTCTAAATTATTTAATTTCTCTTTTTGCATCTTATTATTAGTAATGAGGTTTTTTTGTTGTTGTTGTTTTGTTTTGTTTTTGTTTTTGTTTAATACCGAGGACTGAACCCAGGGCCACTTAACCACTGAGTCACATCCCCAGCCCTTTTTATTTTTTAATTTTTTATTTTGAGAAGGGTCTTGCTAAGTTGGTTATGGCCTCACTGAATTGCTGAGGCTGGCTTTGAACTCACAATCCTCCAAAGATTTTATATTATCCAGCTTAAGATTCTATATTGAGTAGCATGCTGTATTACTTAGAAGTCGTAAATGAAAGCATGTGCACTTGTGCGGGTGTTAAGTTAGATTCTAAAAGTGAATGAGTGCTTCGTGTTCCAGACTCTATTATTTGAATATAAGCAATGGTAGTGGAGCTGGGCAAGGTGGCACATGCCTGTAATCCCAGGGACTCTGGAGGCTGAGGCAGGAGGATATCAAGTTCAAAACCAGTCTGAGCAGTTTAGCAAGGCCCTAGGCAACTTAGTGACATCTTGTCTCTAAATTAAAAAAGGGGGTTGTTAGGGATTTTGTTCAGTGGTTAAGTTCCCCTGGGTTCAATCTCCAGTACCAAAAGAAAAAAAAAAACCCAAAACAATAGCTGGCAGCAATAATGATAATAATCATAATAATAGTTATTTATGTGCCAGGCACTGTGTTTGAGCATAGTTCATTATCTCATTTGAGTTCATTATCTCATTTCATCCTCTCAACAACCTGATAAGATGATGTTGTTATTTCTCCTGTAAGGATTAGGAAATTTAGGGATTTGAAGGTGATAAGTCACTTGCTAAAATCACAAAATGGGTAGGTACAGAGCTGGCCTTTAAAACCTAGGATTGTGATACTACAGCCAGTGCTCTTAGTCAGGTATCAGAAGTGGATGCAAGTAAGCATTATGGGAAATTATTAGACTTTCGCTTTCTAGAGCATCTTTATTTATTGTCATTGGCAGGTGTGCTGGTTGCATTATAGCTAAGCAATTACATAGTATGAATGAGAATTTAATTATTATACATGAGAATTATGTTTTTAAATTAGTTCCAGCCTTTGTTTCTAGCATCTGGGTCCTAGTTAAGTCCCAGCTGTTTCAAAGCCACTCTTCAACCAATTAATATCACCTTCTTTTAATCCCCTCCCTACCCTGTAATCCTTTTATGACACAACTTATCATCTATGATTAGTCTTTCTTGTGTTATAGATATTGGATTTCTTTTATTAGCATTTCTGCTAGAGTAAATTCTTTACCACAGAGCCTTGGCATATTTATCTTTAATATGACCCAGAGTATATCATGGAGTGAGATAATGCTTGTGTAAATGCTTTCAAAATGCTTAAGCAATTAGTGACAGCGCCTAATAAATATTTACAGATGCATATTTTCTGAGATACCTTCTTGGGTCATACATGTATTTTATGCTTTGAATAAATTGTTGCAATTTGTGTCAAATGTGTTGGTTTTGGCTAATTTTAGCTGTTCTCTGCCCTTCTAGTGTGTGGATGGGGTCTTAGGAGGTGAGGATTATAATCAGAACAACATCAACCAGTGGACTGCAAGCATAGTGGAGCAGTCCCTAACACATTTGGTTAAGCTGGGAAAAGCTTATAAATATATTGGTAAGTATCAGTGTCCTTCCTCACTAGTTCACGAACCTTTGTCCTTGGGAATTTCTATGAATTTTGAGAATGAATATGAATAGTAGGCACTGAAGGTAGATACTAATAAAATATGAAGGAATCCTGACTTATTCATTTAATGATAATATATAATCACACCTAGGCAGGCATGGTGATGCACGTCTATAATCCTAGTGACTCAGGAGGATCGAAAGTTTGAGGTCAGCCTTAGCAACTCAATGAGGCCCCAAGCAACTTAGTGAATCCCTGTCTCAAAGTAAAAACTAAAAAGAGCTGGTGATATAGCTCAGTGGCAAAGTGTCCCTGAGTTCAATCTCCAGTATCCTCCCTGCTCCAAAAAAATAATATATGTTTTACACATTTTTTACATACCACATATGTGTATATATTACATATGTAATTATATATGTATACATACACATATGTGTATATGTATGTGTATATAAAAGGTGGAGCTCTTTCACTGCACAAAAAAGTATCCTTGGCTTGGGGAGCTACCCTTCACATTTGCATCAGTTGTCTTTCCACTGAGGCCCCCATAATCTCTCTGCCTTCCTTCTAGTAATCCCATGCCTCTATGTAGGACTGTGAAGTTCCACATATTCACTGTAAAGTGAAATATTTTTTTGCAATTTTTTTTTGGTACTAGGGATTGTACCCAGGGGTAATTAACAACTGGGCCACATTCACAGCCCTTTTTAAAATATTTTTATTTAGAGACAGGGTTTGCTGAGTTGCCTAGGGCCTCACTAAATTGCTGAGGCTGGCTTTGAACTTGTGATACTTCTGCCTCAGCCTCCTAAACTCCTGGAATCACAAGTGTGTGCCACTGTGCCCTACTTCCTGCATTTCTGTGTCCAAATTTTGCCTATGATACAAACCACACAACTTGACCCAGAATTTCTCTATAATACTGTTGCAAATTATTATAGCAATGGCCCACAAACTGACTAGATTCAGTGGGGTTTAAATCATGAGAGTAGATAAAGGATGAGAGACCTTTTTTTTCCAGTCCACTGGCTGCATCATTTTCTGTTATTTTTTTCAGTTTTTATAACTTTGAAGTCACTTCAATCTTGGGTCTTTCCTCTGTCTGTAAGTGTCCTCATTTTGTGACTGTTTTTGCAGTGACCTGTGCAGTGGTCCAGAAGAGTGCATATGGCTTCCACACTGCCAGCTCATGTTTTTGGGATACCACATCTGATGGTAAGAGATCTTAAGCTGATTCATACAAAATCAAAGTGTCAGCAAAGTCAAACGGGGTACTTTTTAATCAAATGCTTATTTGGCTCTAATTAAATCCTGAAAAGATCTTATCAACAGAATGGCTTTGTACCTAGTCACAAGTATGACTTCAGACCAGTATGAAATGTGAAGATATAACAGGTTGAAGGGAATAAATGATATTAACATCTATGAAAAATGTGCATATGCGTGTAAGTGTGTGTGTGTGTGTGTTTTCCCCCACCCCCTGGTTATTTAGATATTTTGCTGCTGATATATCAAAGACCTTTTCTTGTGTGTTTTCAGGAACCTGTACTGTAAGATGGGAGAACCGAACCATGAACTGCATTGTTAATGTTTTTGCCATTGCAATTGTCCTGTAACCAACTAAATATGCTAGACTAAAGCCATTCACTTAAGACTTTGTCAGTGTATCCTTTCTAAACAGGAGTCATAGTTAACTTATTAATATGCTAGACGACAAGTGTGCAAGCTATCAACAGAAACTGAGTATTATAAGCAAGCAGTCTCATTGTAAATTGGCAGATTATCTCATACTCTATACAGCATCATTGAAATAAGAAAAACTGAATGTTAGCAAAAAGTAAATGCAGAAATACGGCATGACATCCAAATATGATCTTGTACCTACACCAGCTTTTCACTAACATTATCATGTATCTTTCAGCTAGAGTACTTACTTAACAGGGATAAATATTTGAGCAAAAAAGCTACAAGGATGAATGTAGAGAAGAAATGAATTAGCTAACACCTCTGAGTTTTTTATTTCTTCCCCTCGCTTAGTTGTACGTAATACTTAATGGAAGGTATTTTTGCTCCTTTTTTTAAATCAACTAATGTTATAGTAGCAGTTATGATTTACCTGTCTACTTTTTCTGAGAATTGGTGAATCCATTTTTTTTAATTTCAATTTTTTTTTGGATTTACACTAAAGGTTGAGTTCGATCTGATAACCTGACTTTCCTAGTTAAGCAAAATTAGGTACAGCATATGAGTCAGACAACTGCCTTACAATCTACTCATTCCATGTGGAACAAGCATTTACTGCATGCCTGGTAGGATCATATTTCTCTGCTAGGCATTATACTTACCAATGTGCTGTTCACACGCTAAGTTCCTTTTGGCAGCTGTTCAGTGGGAAAAGTAGCATTTGTTTGGGGATGAAAAAAAAAGAGTTGTTTTACAAGAGGGGAGGAAACCAAGTCTGGTTACCCAGGTAGAAGTAAGCAAAATGCAAAGCACTTATTGGTGACAGAACTATAGATGTCATTTTAAGAGTTGCTCCTAGCAATTTAAAAATGCATATAATATGCAACTCTTAATTAAAGGCCTTATTAGTAGTCTTAACTATACAAGTAGTAAATTTTATCATTGCTTTACTTACAAACATCTGTAAATAGTTTTAAATACTTATTATGTGGGATATAAATTGAGCGGAGTAAAGTACAAATTAAAAGTATACAATCATTAGCAGGTTATCTAATATCTCAGGGTTTATGAAGTGTAGTTAAAATTAAAGAAGAATTAGGGTACACAGCTGGCCACCAAATGTAAAGTCAATCTGCTATATAACCTTGAAAACAAAATCAATTTTGCATACTGCCACTAACACTAATACATGCAGAGACTGGAATCATGATTTAGTGAATTTTTAGGGAAAAGAAAAGTTTAGCATTAAGGCAGTATTCTTCTAGGAATGCTATGTGTATGGTTGCTATTTTGCTGAAGAACTGTGCAATGTTTAAGAAGAAGTTTAAGAAAATACAAGGGGCTGGGGGTATAGCTCACTGGTAGAGCACTTACCTACAATGTATGAGAACCTGGGTTCCATCCCCAGCACCACAAAAAAGTACAAGGATAGTTTTTAATGCAGTGACCTGTGTTTTTGACAATCAGAAATTCTGAGTCATTACCTTTATGTTCTATTATGCTGCTGGCTTTTGTGCCCCTGAAGATTATAATAGTGACCAAAATATCTGTGCACTTAAGGATTGTTTTTGATTATTGTCTTTGAAGCCTGGTTTCAAAAAAAAATCAATTATACCTCGTGATCTTGCTATCTGCTCTATTTCTAGTTAAAGTATAATAAAGATTATCTTCCTGTGCTGTACTTTTGCTTCTGATTGATTATTCAGTAGTTAAAGAAATAGCATTATGCTAACTCTAAGAAATTCTAAACAGGAGAAACGGGGACAAAAAATGAATAAGGGGCCACATAAATATATTATGCCATTAAAATGGCAACCCAAATTCAGTATTCACCATTATGACATCACTAATAGCTTCTGTTTTATGCCTTTTCTATTTTAAGAAGTTATTGTAAAATTTGTTCTCTAACTATTTATTAGCTTTTAATGATTATTTTTGGCCAAGAATTTTGTGCTGTTTGTCAACTTGCATTTGAGTTGTTGCTATTTTTTTTTTAAATTAAGGACTTTAAGCATGCAAAATTAGGGTATTCAAATGTAAGTACTAACTGGAATTTTTGTAAAGCTATAATTTTACATTTGTAAAGTAGCAGTATACTGCCTAAATGGTGGCAACATCTCATTACATTTCTGTAGTAAAAAGTACTTTTCGGTTCTTTTCTAGTTGGGTGTAATCTAATTATGCATCACTGAACATACTTTTACCACCTGCACTAATCATCATATTTCTAAAATAATCTTAGGATGTTTAGGGTTGTAATTTCAAAGTTTGAGTAAAAATAGTTTTCTATTCTTTTTTTTTTTTAAAGATAGAGTGAGAGAGGGAGGGAGGGAGGAAGGGAGGGGGAGAGAGAGAAAGAGAGAGAGAGAATTTTTAATATTTATTTTTTAGTTTTCGGCAGACACAACATCTTTGTTTGTATGTGGTGCTGAGGATCGAACCCGGGCCGCACCCATGCCAGGGGAGCGCGCTACCGCTTGAGCCACATCCCCAGCCCAGTTTTCTATTCTTGATAACAGTTTTTTTTTTTTTGATGGGGGGTTCTGGGGATTGAACTCAGGGGCACTCAACCACTAAGCCCCATCCCCAGCCCCATTTTGTATTTTATTTAGAGACAGGATCTCACTGAATTACTTAGCACCTCGCTTTTGCTGAGGCTGGCTTGAACTCTCCATCCTCCTGCCTCAGCCTTCTGAACTGCTGGGATTAAAGGCGTGCACCGCTGCGCCCCACTGATAACAATTATTTAAAAGTGCAAGAAAAATCTATGGGGCTGGGGATGTGGCTCAAGTGGTAGCGCGCTCGCCTGGCATGAGTGTGGCCTGGGTTCGATCCTCAGCACCACATACAAACAAAGATGTTGTCTCCGCCGAAAACTAAAAAATAAATATTAAAAAAAATTCTCTCTCTCTCTCTCTCTCTCTCTCTCTCTCTCTCTCTCTCTCTCTCCTCTCTCTCTTTAAAAAAAAAGTTTAAATAATACTAAATTTCTTATAATAAAATTTAAAAAAAAGAAAAATCTATGGCTTATGGTAAAGGAATTAAGTATTTTACTGGGAATTGAACCCCATTGGTGCTTACCCACTGAGCCACTTCCCCAAAATAAAAAATATTTTATTTTGAGAGAGGTTCTCGCTAAGTTGCTGAAGGTCTTGCTAAATTGCTGAGGCTGGCTTTGAACTCATGATCCTCCTGCCTCAGCCTCCTGAGTCTCTGGGATTACAGGTATGTGCACCACAGCGCCCAGTGGAATTAGGTCATTCTTATGGCATGTACCCACGCCAAAGTTTGAGAGATTAATTGAAATTTTTACCCCATGTAAAACTACCCAAGGTTAATTCATTTAAGAAGGTGGAGCTATATTTTTAACTGAAGAGGATTATAGGTCCAGTGTCAAGTAATTTTGTAAAGTTAGGTTTGCACACTTATGAAAATTTCTGTGCAAGGATCCTAAATATTCATTCCTTAGAAGATTTAGATGGCCATTAACTTCACTGGTCCAGGAGATTCTAGGCCATCTTGACCAGTGGCAAACACCTTAGTTCTCTCTATGGTCCCATTTCATGTCTCTCTATGTCATCCTTGGATATGTATAATATATCGACAATCTAGGCCTACCTAGAAATGGCCCCTAATTACTTCATGGAGAATGTCTCAGGCTGGGGATATAGCTCAGTTGGTAGAGTACTTGCCTCACATGTACAAATCCCCAGCACTACAAAAAGAAAAAAGTCTCTTCCCAAAATGGTTTCTAAGGATCTCAGATAAAGCTGGAACTTTCTATAGACATGTGCAGCACCACTGGTATTGGATGTGTGTTCCATGTAGGAGGCAAAACATGGGCAACCACCTCCACTTCTGCAATCCTTAAAAGATGAGACCATATGGAAAAATTCCTTCAAAGTTCCCCCTATCTATGTTAGAGAATTTTATGCCTTGGTCAAAATTAGGTCATATGCCCAGAAATGTCAATTTCATAATCTGGAAAATTCTACACATTGACCTTAAATCTGAGCTCTCGAATGATTCATCCTAGCAAGGATAGAATTACAATTAGATCAGAGAAGGGCTAGTTTTCCTGAAAGTGCTTCAGACATGTGAGAGGGTCAAATATTTCAACAAAAATCAGGGTACTTTTAATGAAAGGTGAGATGAGTATTGGGTGCTGGGTAAACAACAATGTTCACTACCCTTCCACAAATAAATGCTCTGTCACATTACTGAAATATGTAGCCATCTTGATCTAGTTTTCCTTCTTGTAATAGAGATATGGGTATAAGAATTTGACTTTTTCCTTTGCACTTGGATTAGCCTCCTTTGCTGTTTAAATGTGGTGACCAAAAGCATATAAGTTTAGGGCTGGGGTTGTGGCTCAGCAGTAAAGCACTTGCCTAGCACATGTGAGGCCCTGGGTTCAATCCTCAGCACCACATAAAAATAAATAAATAAAATAACGGTATTGTGTCCAACTACAACTAAAAAATAAATACTTAAAAAAAAGCATACAAGTTTATTTGTTTACAGTTCTGGAGCTCTGAAGTCCAAAATGGTTTAGCAGACTAAAATCAACGTGTAGACAGGGCCACATTCCTTCTGGAGGCTCTAAGAATTATTTTTCCTGTCTTTTCTCATTTCTAGAAGCTATTTGCATTCCTTGGTGGGTGATTTGTTCCTGCATCTTCAAAGCCAGCAGTGTAGCATCTTCAGATTCGTCTTCTCTGACCTCTGATTCCTTATGTGACTTGGAGCCTCCTGCTTTCATCTTTTCCTTATTAGAAACCTTGTGATTACATTGGCCACACCCAGGGTTTTATTCCACCCCAGAGTCTTTAATCACTTATGCAAAATTCCTTTTGAAATGATCATATTCACAGGTTTCGAGAATTAGAATGTGGATTTCTTTGGGGAAGGGGATGCTACTCAGTATGCCACAACTCTATCACCATATTGGTGCTAAATGTCAGTGGACTTTCAGTAGAAGTATTAGAAAAATAATAGAGAGGGCTGGGGATGTGGCTCAAGTGGTAGCGCACTTGCCTGGCATGCGCGGGGCGCTGGGTTCGATCCTCAGCACCACTTACAAATAAAATAAAAGATGTTGTGTCCACTGAAAGCTAAAAAATAAATATTAAAAAATTCCCTCTCCCTCTCTCTCTCTCTCTCTCTTTAAAAAAATAATAATAGGGAATAGCTAGGGCAGTGATGAATTGGATAACATGTGTCCCATCCAAAAGGGAAGCTATATCTCAGCTCCAGCCATGGTCACCAGTTAGCAATAAAGACTTAGGGTTGCCCAATCTTCCAGTTACCAAAAAGAAAAAAAAAATCACAACTATTGATTATGGTGTGAAAAAAATCTATTTTGGAATCTCAGTATTTTTAAACACTGATATTTAGGCTTAAGGAGGCCCAATAAATACTTGTTTCCTACTTTAGTTCTGTATCAATTAAAACATAAGGAGAAAAATAGATTAATATCAAAATATTACCTCTCTGCTCCAGAATGAGACTTTTCTAAAGGTAACTGTGTTAGCATAATTGCAGCCATCTTCCTTTCCCCAACCCCCACTTTATGAATACTGTTCATATGCCTGAGATAAAACCTACTGGCCTAGAGACCTGCTGGTCTCTCCCTGTTCTCTCCTTGAGAAGATAAAGGGACATGCCAGTTTCCCTGTTCCCCCTCTGAGAGACAGGAAAACTGCCTGTCTCTGTTCCCCAAGAAACAAATTTGCCTTCCACAAGATCAGGGGATGCTCACTATGTCAGTCAAGACTAAACCTGCCCCTAGCGCTCAGCCATGATTCTAGCTTATAAAAGGTAACATTCAAGGGGGAGTTGCTGCTCTCCCTCCTTGCTGCTGCTGTGTCCCTCTCTTTGTGCAGAGCAGCCTTGTCGGGCTCTTGACAATAAACCCGCTTTTTATCCCAGGTGTGTGTGTGATCAGTCCTGTGCCACTTTTCTTTCAAACTGGTCTTTCTCATTGTAAAGTCCAGAATTAGATTAGAATCTAAGTTGAAGGTAGCAACTTGTTCTTTCTGGGGAGCCAGCTACAAAGAGAGAGAGAGAAGAGGAAGCCACTCTACCTCCCAGGGAAGGTGTGAGTAAGGGAGTAAAGAAATAACAAGAATGTAGCCAGGCGCTGTGGTGCATGCCTGTAATCCCAGCAGCTCAGGAGGCTGAGGCAGGAGGATTGAGAGTTCAAAGCCAGCCTCAGCAAAATCGAGGACCTAAGCAACTCAGTGAGCCCCTGTCTCTAAACAAAATACAAAATAGGGCTAGGGATGTGGCTCAGTGGTTGAGTGCCCTGAGTTCAATCCCTGGTTACCTCCCACCCCCAATAAAAGAAATATCAAGAATGTTATATGAATTTTTTTCCATGTCACTATTCTGTACATGGAGAACTATATGAAAGAAAATATAAGTGGAGATTCAGCCCTGCTCCCTTAACACTTGGCAATGATTCTGATTTTTTAAAACACTGAGTACCCAGCATTATGCAGGCAAAAACAAAACAAAACAAAAACCATGGCTGTGAGTTCCATACAGACCATGGACCATCAGTTTGTCTCCGTTTCTGCAAATCTAGGCTTCTTCCATCACGATCCTCCCCTCCCAACTCCTCCACTGATTGGCTAATCCGGTCAGATGTACTTGTTCCACCAATGGCCAATAGGCAAA